CGTGTCACGTTTCTGGTACTATATGATCCGCTGAAGGTATGTACCGGTCACGTTTCTGGTACTCCATGATCTGCTGAAGGTATATAACAGTCACGTTTCTGGTACTACATGATCCGCTGAAGGCATGTACCGGTCACTTTTCTGGTACTACATGATCTGCTGAAGGTATGTACCGGTCACGTTTCTGGTACTACATGATCCGCTGAAGGTATGTACCTTTCACGTTTCTGGTACTACATGATATGCTCAAGGCAAGTACCGGTCACGTTTCTGGTAATAAATGATCTGTTGAAGGCATGTACCGGTCTCGTTTCTGGTACTACATGATCCGCTGAAGGCATGTACCTGTCACGTTTCTGGTACTACATGATATGCTCAAGGCAAGTACCGGTCACGTTTCTGGTAATAAATGATCTGTTTAAGGCATGTACCGGTCTCGTTTCTGGTACTACATGATCTGCTGAAGGCATGTACCGGTCACGTTTCTGGTACTACATGATCCGCTGAAGGAATGTACCGGTCACGTTTCTGGTACTACTTGAACTGCTGAAGGCATGTACCTGTCACGTTTGTGGTACTTTATGATCCGCTGAAGGCATGTACCGGTCACGTCTCTGGTACTATGTGATCTACTGAAGGCATGTACCGGTCACGTTTCTGGTAATTCATGATCCGCTGAAGGCATGTACCTGTCATGTTTCTGGTACTACATGATCCGCTGAAGGCATGTACTGGTCACGTTTATGGCACTACATGATCCGCTGAAAGTATGTACCTGTCACGTTTCTGGTACTGTATGATCTGCTGAAGGTATGTTCCTTTCACGTTTTTGGTACTATATGATCCGCTGAAGGTATGTACTGGTCACGTTTCTGGTACTACATGATCCGCTGAAGGTATGTACCAGTCACGTTTCTGGTACTGCATGATCTGCTGAAGGCATGTACCAGTCACGTTTCTGGTACTTTATGGTCCGCTGAAGGCATGTACCGGTCACGTTTCTGGTACTACTTGAAGTGCTGAAGACATGTACCTGTCACGTTTGTGGTACTTCATGATCCGCTGAAGGCATGTACCGGTCACGTCTCTGGTACTATATGATCTGCTGAAGGCATGTACCGGTCACGTTTCTGGTACTATATGATCCGCTGAAGGCATGTACGTGTCACGTTTCTGGTACTATATGATCTGCTGAAGGCATGTACCGGTCACGTTTCTGGTACTACATGATCCGCAGAAGGCATGTACCAGTCACGTTTCTGGTACTACATGATCTGCTGAAGGCATGTACCTGTCACGTTTGTGGTACTACATGATCCGCTGAAGGTATGTACCTGTCACGTTTCTGGTATTACATGATCTGCTGAAGGCATGTACCAGTCTCGTTTCTGGTACTTTATGATCCGCTGAAGGCATGTACCAGTCACGTTTCTGGTACTATATGATCCGCTGAAGACATGTACGTGTCACGTTTCTGGTACTACTTGATCTGCTGAAGGCATGTACTGGTCACGTTTATGGCACTACATGATCCGCTGAAGGTATGTACCTGTCACGTTTCTGGTACTGTATGATCTGCTGAAGGTATGTTCCTTTCACGTTTCTGGTACTATATGATCCGCTGAAGGTATGTACCGGTCACGTTTCTGGTACTCCATGATCTGCTGAAGGTATATAACAGTCACTTTTCTGGTACTACATGATCTGCTGAAGGCATGTACCGGTCACGTTTCTGGTACTACATGATCCGCTGAAGGCATGTACGGGTCACGTTTCTGGTACTACATGATCTGCTGAAGGCAAGTACCGGTCACGTTTCTGGTACTACATGATCTGCTGAAGGTATGTACCGGTCTCGTTTCTGGTACTACATGATCCGCTGAAGGCATGTACCGGTCACGTTTCTGGTACTACATGATCCGCTGAAGGAATGTACCGGTCACGTTTATGGTACTACATGATCCGCTGAAGGTACGTACCGGTCACGTTTCTGGTACTACATGATCCGCTGAAGGCATGTACCGCTCACGTTTCTGCTACTACATGATCTGCTGAAGGCAAGTACCGCTCACGTTTCTGGTACTACATGATCTGCTGATGGCATGTACCGGTCTCGTTTCTGGTACTACATGATCTGCTGAAGGCATGTACCGGTCACGTTTCTGGTACTATATGATCGGCTGAAGGCATGTACCTGTCACGTTTCTGGTACTTCATGATCCGCTGAAGGCATGTACCGGTCACGTTTCTGGTACTACATGATCCGCTTAAGTCATGTACAGGTGACGTCTCTGGTACTATATGATCTGTTGAAGGCATGTACCTGTCACGTTTCTGGTACTTCATGATCCGCTGAAGGCATGTACCTGTCACGTTTCTGGTACTACATGATCCGCTGAAGGTATGTACCGGTCACGTTTCTGGTACTCCATGATCTGCTGAAGGTATGTTCCTTTCACGTTTCTGGTACTATATGATCTGCTGAAGGTATGTACCTGTCACCTTTCTGGTACTTCATGATCTGCTGAAGGTATGTTCCTTTCACGTTTCTGGTACTACATAATCCGCTGAAGGCATGTACCGGTCACGTTTCTGGTACTACATGATCTGCTTAAGGTATGTACCTGTCACGTTTCTGGTACTACATGATCTGCTGAAGGTATGTTCCTTTCACGTTTCTGGTATTACATGATCTGCTGAAGGTATGTACCGGTCACGTTTCTGGTACCATATGATCTGCTGAAGGTATGTACCGTTCACGTTTCTGGTACTACATGATCTGTTGAAGGTATGTACCGTTCACGTTTCTGGTACTACATGATCTGCTGAAGGCATGTACCTATTACGTTTCTTGTACTACATGATCCGCTGAAGGTATGTGCCTGTCATGTTTAAGGTACTACATGATCTGCTGAAGGTATGTGCCTATTACATTTAAGGTTCTACATGATCCGCTGAAGGCATGTACCTGTCATGTTTAAGGTACTACATGATCCGGTGAAGATATGTACCGGTCACGTTTCTGGTACTACATGATCTGCTGAAGGTATGTACCGGTCACGTTTAAGGTACTACATGATCCGGTGAAGATATGTACCGGTCACGTTTCTGGTACTGTATAATCTGCTGAAGGTATGTACCGGTCACGTTTCTGGTACTACATGATCTGCTGAAGGTATGTACCTGTCACGTTTCTGGTACTGTATGATCTGCTGAAGGTATGTACCTATTACGTTTCTTGTACTACATGATCTGCTGAAGGTATGTACCGGTCACGTTTAAGGTACTACATGATCCGGTGAAGATATGTACCTGTCACGTTTCTGGTACTGTATGATCTGCTGAAGGTATGTACCGGTCACGTTTCTGGTACTACATGATCCGCTGAAGATATGTACCTGTCACGTTTCTGGTACTGTATGATCTGCTGAAGGTATGTACCTATTACGTTTCTTGTACTACATGATCTGCTGAAGGTATGTACCGGTCACGTTTCTGGTACTACATGATCCGCTGAAGGTATGTACCTGTCACGTTTCTGGTACTGTATGATCTGCTGAAGGTATGTACCGGTCATGTTTAAGGTACTACATGATCTGCTGAAGGTATGTACCGGTCACGTTTAAGGTACTACATGATCCGCTGAAGGTATGTTCCTTTCACGTTTCTGGTACTACATGATCTGCTGAAGGTATGTACCTGTCACGTTTCTGGTACCATATGATCTGCTGAAGGTATGTTCCTTTCACGTTTCTGTTACTAGATGATCCGCTGAAGGTATGTACCGGTCATGTTTAAGGTACTACATGACCCGCTGAAGTTATGTTCCTTTCACGTTTCTGGTACTACATGATCTGCTGAAGGTATGTACCTATCACGTTTCTGTTACTACATGATCTGCTGAAGGTATGTACCGGTCACGTTTCTGGTACTACATGATCCGCTGAAGGTATGTACCGGTCACGTTTCTGGTACTACATGATCCGCTGAAGGTATGTACCGGTCACGTTTCTGGTACTACATGATCTGCTGAAGGTATGTACCTGTCAAGTTTCTGGCACTCCATGATCTGCTGAAGGTATGTGCCTATTACGTTTAAGGAACTACATGATCTGCTGAAGGTATGTACCGTTCACGTTTCTGGTACTACATGATCCGCTGAAGGTATGTACCGGTCACGTTTCTGGTACTACATGATCTGCTGAAGGTATGTACCTGTCAAGTTTCTGGTACTACATGATCTGCTGAAGGTATGTGCCTATTACGTTTAAGGTACTATATGATCTGCTGAAGGCATGTACCTGTCATGTTTAAGGTACTACATGATCCGGTGAAGATATGTACCGGTCACGTTTCTGGTACTACATGATCTGCTGAAGGTATGTACCGGTCACGTTTAAGGTACTACATGATCCGGTGAAGATATGTACCAGTCACGTTTCTAGTACTGTATGATCTGCTGAAGGTATGTACCGGTCACGTTTAAGGTACTACATGATCTGCTGAAGGTATGTACCGGTCACGTTTAAGGTACTACATGATCGGCTGAAGATATGTACCTGTCACGTTTCTGGTACTGTATGATCTGCTGAAGGTATGTACCTAATACGTTTCTTGTACTACATGATCTGCTGAAGGTATGTACCGGTCACGTTTAAGGTACTACATGATCTGCTGAAGGTATGTACCGGTCATGTTTAAGGTACTAAATGATCTGCTGAAGGCATGTACCGGTCATGTTTAAGGTACTACATGATCTGCTGAAGGCATGTTCCTATCACGTTTAAGGAATCTGCTTGAGGGAACCAATCCAACTGGAAATTCGAACTTGGATATTAAATCAACGTCCCACAATTCTTTTTGTTTCTATTTCAAATGCAATGCATATATCTTGAGGAACACAAGACCATTAACAACTTAAATCTACTCTACTCTTATCTTATCGTCCTTATTCGAATGGCTGACCTATGCGACTGGAATATATATAGTAGAGATCTTACCAGTGAGGCAGCCTGTCGGTTTTGCATGTAACGGCAGTTACTCTGTGCCACAAGCCCAGTACAGCCACTTGTAGAGAAATCAGCGATCAGTCTGCATTGAATGGACGAGTCTGGTTCTGCGCATGCGTTGAACGAATAGCAGCCGGAAGTTCGTGAGCATGTTGCTGCGCAGTCCAAAACGGACAAGGTGGTTACGACAAGGAATGGACGTTTTGGTAGGATCCATCCCCGCTTGCAGTCAGTGAAGCCTTTGTAACTGTCCGACAACTCAATCTGGCCGGATACAGTGGTAGATACAGTAACGGTGCCCAGCAAGAAAACCAGAAGGACCATCATCTGAAACATTGTTTCAAGGTATATAATGAGTGGGTCTAGTTTTATGCCGCTTGTAGCAATACTCCAGCAATCTCACAGCGGGGGTCACCAGAAATGGGCTTCACACAATGTACCCATGTGGGAATCGAATCTGGGTCTTCGGCGTGACGAGCGAACGCTTTAACCACCAGGCTACCCCACCGCCCCCCAAGGTACATAACAATGAAAAATGAAGAACTTAATTAGTCGAACTTTCTTTGGGGTAGGTATGCAGCATTTCAGAGTCATTAAAACCATGCTCTTCTCTGTTTAGGCCAGTGGAAAGCGAAGTTGATTTATGTTTAAGTTGGATTTCAATATTCACAAATCTCCTACCATATCCCCAAGTATTTATTCCAAATAAACATGGGAAAAGATTGCCTACGTTTTACCCCCAAATTGAAATTGCTTGCAGCATATGTATTATGTCCTAAAAAACGTATGAAGAACACATTTTCAGCTCCCTCTTTCAAAGATTCAGATTCGTATTTTGAGGCAGTGACCGAAATAATCCATCAAAAATCACCTAGCCCAAGCTCAGAATATGGAAGGTTAATACCTTATATGAAAGATAGAACTAACATTGTTGCCAGTAAGTGACAAATATCTCAAGAAATTCTGGATTCTAATTTCCTTTTTAATTCAACAATTGAGACTGTTTTGATACAAATTATGTGCATATGTGACCAGAATAGGTTGTTTCATCGGTGTCGGCCCGGGAAAGCGAAAACCAAAGTTGTGCTAGAAGTGCCGCGAAAGCGGATTGCTATGAAAACATCGGTTTACCGTACTTCATATTAGTGCGCGACCCCAATACTCGATCTGTGAGCCTCTTAACTGAGATGAAGTTTCAGTTGTTTCAAGTTTCACCACTTGATCTATGACAAGTTACAGTGGCACCATACCCACCAACCAGTGCAATACGAGGGGGAAGTGGAGGCCTTTAAGTCCACGCTAATCCACCGTGCAAAGACGGCGGCCACGCCGATTCCAGCCATCTACGGTGATGAGGTATCCCGTCTGCGACGCCACCACAACGTTGTTCCAGATGACCTGCTAAAGGAAATACCTTCCTTCGCATCACTCAAGACCATTCTCTACAGACAGCGGCACAAGACCATTCCTAGACTCCCTGCCACCCGACGTGAGATTCAGCTTGAGGGACAGTGGACCTTGACCGAAGCAGGTGAACCCTTCCTCCATCGCATCCAACATGATCATCTTCACGACAAACAAGAACATTGAGCGCCTGTGTGCAACAAATACGGTGTTTGGCGACGGCACCTTCTCCTCAGCTGCCAGGTTGTTCGAGCAGATCTACACACTGCATGCTGAGTATCAAGGCCACATGTTCCAGTTCGTCTACTGTTTGCTGTCCTGGACTACACTGATCACGTCGCTGACCTGATCCACTTTCAGTGATCCACCTCCACGTGATGCATCAATGTGAAACTCTTTCACTCACTCACTCCATTAATGTGACTTATCGGTGAACAGTCTGTGGCTCAAACATTTATTGTTATTCATTTATTAAATTTCTACCGTGTATACGGTATCAGACGACGACTCACATTTCTTTGTTTTTCTTGTGTATTGAGAGTCTCGGGAACGCTAAATTCAGTGTTCACTGTAGCTTGACCGTTCCCGCGAAAGCGACACCTAAATTGAGGAGGTTTAGTCCAGATTTCGCTTTCCCGTTTCATCATAGGTTTGTTATTGTACCCGTGAAGACCCGGGTTAGAATTGGTCTTCAGCAACCCATGCTTGTCGTAAGAGGGGACTGACGGGATCGGGTGGTCGGGCCCGCTGAATTTGTTTGACACATGTCATCATATTCCAGTTGCGTAGATCGATGCTCATCCTGTGGATCCCTTAAATGATAGATGGACCCCTGGTCCAGACTTGATTATTTACAGACCGCCGCCATAATATCATTGAGGTATGAGTGAGTGAGTGAGTTAAGATTTTAAGTCACATCGGCAATATTTCAGCCATATCGTGACTACGTTGAGGTATGAATCGACAATCCGATATACATGTACAAACGTGTGTATGCGTACGGTTTTTCGATTCACTCCTCATTGTACACCTCCTCATTGTACACCTCCTCATTGTACACCTCCTCATTGTACACGTACTCCTCATTGTACACCTCAACAATACCTTCACTCAAATCATCAGTTCTCTAATTATATTTATCATCCAAAACTGTGTTCCACAGGAGATATCGCTTGTGTAAGATCATATGATATCTCCTAGGAGATATCGTTTTGACAGTAGATTTTGTACAATGCCCTGACAATGCTATGACGTCATCAACTTGATGACGTCACAATGCTATGACATCGCTTCACTGCAAGTCTAATGGCAGTACAGTGTTGAGAGATGTACATTTTTCATTGAAAACTAATAAAGAATGAATTTTGATGATAAATAGAATCTCACCCTCGTGTCTACTGATATCAATTACATCAACACTCGTTGATAAAGGTGAAAATATCCTCGGCAAGCCTCGGATATTTGTAACTTTATCAACTCGTGTTGATATAATTGATATCAGTAGACACTTGGGTGAGATTCTCTATATATATGTAATGAGTAACTGTTTCAACAGAATTCAATAAGTTAATTAGTAGGGTTTCAAACATAATGGAAGGATTCCTTGTGTTGTAAAATCCATTTATAATTTAAAGGAATAACATTTGCATAGATATACTGACTGACTGACTGAGTATGGTTTTACGTCGCTTTTAACAATCTTCCAGCAATATCACGGCGGGGGACACCAGAAATGGGCTTCACACATTGTACCCACGTGGGGATTCGAACCCGGGTGTTCGGCGTCACGAGCGAACGCTTTAACCACTCAGTCAGTCAGTCAGTCAGTTTATTTGTGTAACGCCGCACTCCGTAATATACGGCAATGGTGGTCTGCAAATAATCGAGTCTGGACCAGACAATCCAGTGATCGACAACATGAGCATCGATCTACGTAATTTGGGCTTTGGTGTTCGGGTTGAGAATGTTTGTTTGGTGTCCGGATTGAGAATGTTGCGACATGTCTAACTACCGCCCAGTGAGGTGGGGTCTTGATTCTTTCATGAAACATTTACATGCCTGAAAACCCGTAAAGATCCGGGTTAGAATTAGTCTTCAGCAACCCATGCTTGTCGTAAGAGGCGACTGACGGGATCAGGTGGTCAGGCTCGCTGACTTGGTTGACACATGTCATCGTTTCCCAATTGCGTAGATCGATGCTCATGATGTTGATCACTGGATTGTCTGGTCCAGACTCGATTATTTACAGACCGCCGCCACATAGCTGGAATATTGCCAATTCTGGTATCCCCCGCCATGATATTGCTGTAATAATGCGTAAAACCATACTACTAACTCAGTACCATTCATATCTTTTTCAGAGGTATTTTTCTGCTTACATCTAATGAAATTTGTTTCTGGGGATTTCACTATGATATATATTCTGGGCATTACATATATAAACAGAAACGGACATGGTTTCAAAAAACTTGCGGTCAACGACGTACATGGAGTGCCACCATTCAAGACTTGCATTGAAAATATAAATGATATTAAATCAATCTTCATGGACTACATGGATGATAAACTGACCCTTAAGGTTTTCTTTCCCAAGAAATATCTGAGTGGACATTTATAAGAGTGAAGACTGAAGAGAAGAAGTACAGTGTAATAGCGATATTACCTGTGCGCAGTGTATGAAAGTGAATGATTTGTACTCATTACAGGAGTCAATAAGTTAGGATTTCTAGGCACTTCGGCAGTATTTCAACCATATCGAGACTTAAACAAGTTATACATTTATGATACATAAACTCGAATATAAAAACCTGTGGACGAAAGACAGTAAAAACAACAAGAACACTACAATGAGTGAGTGAGTTTAGTTTTACGCCGCTTTTAGCAATATTCCAGCAATATAACGGCAGGGGACACCAGAAACGGGAGAACACTACAGATGTAGATGTCAAACCAGCATGTAAATCCAAACTATAGACAATACAATATACAACCGGTTATAGATCACCGAAATCTTAAGGGAGATCACTACACTAAAGGACCATTGGGACTTACGGTACGTTTGCTTCCTGCATTGGTCCTAGCTGGATTTACTTCATCACTTGGGTCATTGGCGATCTTGCTATTGCTGTATTTACAAAACATATTCACTAAAATATTTCAAACAATTCTGGTTCTATTAAAAAATCAATAACTCAATGAAAACTGGCCTTATTTTCCTTACTGTTTTCACGCACCAGTCTAAAATTGTCCATATTTTCATCAAGATGAATTTCAGCATGACAATGATCAATGAATATAACTAACATGAAGCCGAAGGGCATGTCCAGTTGAAAAAATGCTTTAGAAACAAATTCCTGTCCACAGTATGACTCTTAATTCCAAAATGCATCAACATGCAGCCACGCCATTAAGAAAGCGCGAATTTCATTCTGAAATCATACTGACTGTGACATTAAAAGCAGGTGTATGAGATCCGATTCTCATTGCTTCACTAACGATTGTGAAACGAGGACAGAAATGCCGAGGTTAACACCTCACGAAAGAGAACGTGGACTAGGCATGATTCAGGTTGGCACCAGCAGCAGGTATATTGCTCGACAACTTGAACTTGGCCACTCCACCATCGTTAGGCTTCATAGATGACATCAGTAGACAGGCAGCACCCGTGACCTTCAATGACCTTGGCAACAACGTGTTACGACGCTCCATCAGGATCGCCATATTGACCTTGTCCATATCAGTGATTGAACACTGCCGACTGCCAGGTCTGCTGTACTAGTTCAAGGTTGACGTGGGGGGTCATCAGCGCTGACTCCACGCGACGCCGTCTACATGCTACAGGGCTCCATGCTCGACGTCCTTACGTTGGACTAATTCTGACTGACAGACACCGTAATGAGCGTATACAATGGGCTAGAAGGCATTTTCAGTAAAGGTTACAACAATGGCATGGTGTGGTAGTCAATGACGAGTCACGTCTTCATCTACGTAATGCTGACGGCCGATTATGTGTTTTGCGTAGACGTGGTGAACGTTATGCTGATCAGTGTGTGGTTCAGACAGACCTTTGGGTGGTGGGAGTGTCATGATCTGGGGTGGAATAAATTACAATCACAGGACTGCCTTCATGTCTGTCAAGGGAGAGTTAATGCCCTTTATTACCGTGAGCAGATTCTTCAGAATCACATCGTATCTGTCTTCAATCACCACCAATATGTCCATACTATTCAACAGGACAACGCACTGTTATTATCCACTCAAAAAATATCAATTCCTTATACGTGCTTTTAATAATCTGAAATTTTATAAGTGGTGCGTTTCCCTTGAAAAATCAAACAGTTAAACAAAACGGATCGTTAGTTGTCAGTTATTCATGCTTTCGTTTTTATACCTTTTACGTTTCGATCAAGTACACTGAACCGGTTGAACTAGTTACGACTCTGGAGAGACGGTAGTACCACGCATAGCCAAGCTGAATCGGGAGTGTGTTAGCTAGTGCTGTAACGGTGCATCGAACTATCGATGGATTGCAATTGTTGCAATTCGATAGCAATTAATCGATGGGAGAAACGAAAAAATGATCGCTAGTATGTGTGACTGTCGATAGTTTAGTTATTGACTTCAGTTGATAAATACGCAGCGCAAAATACAGGAAGGACCAGATTCGTTCACTTTGATTGAGAGTTATCCGCCACTGTTGCCTATTAAAAAAAAAAACATGGCGACAGACACGACATGGAACTCGGAGTTTGAAATGTACTTGATCAGGGATTTAAAGTTTCTTGTCAGTCATTAAAAGAAACTGAAACTACTCCAACTTGTTTATACATATGAACTATGCATTCACTTTGGAAATGACTTCAAATGAGACAATTCAAGGAGAAAAAACTAAGTATTGTAATAGTTGGTCGCAATAGACCATCGCTAATGCAATAGTATGTTGCAATAGACTCCCCCCCTCCTCACACACACAAACACACACACACACACAAATAGCCACTTCGGGCACAGTACGTATTCCGCGGGAGTGTCATAAGTTAATTTAAAGTCGGGTGCCGATAATTTGTTCATATTTTCAAAGAAATATTGTCTAGAACTAAGTAGAACTTAAGTTTCAGAAAAAAAGGACGTTCTTTAAGCTGGAGACAATACAACAGTTTCTATTTCGCGAACCAATACTTCTTTGATCATATATAATTATAATCGTGCGTAGATGTTAGTAGCATGTACTTAGATGTAAGTATTATCTGCGTAGATGTTAAAAATATTATAGACTGTGGAACCAATAGGGATTCGACCACGAAGGCCAGTTGTCGCCCCTATATTGAGAGATTTCCATCGGCGCAATCGCTTTCGGTGGTGTCGTAGAGTCCGGAACTGGAACCTGGAGGCGAGTCTGGTTCAGTGATCAATCATGATTTCTAAAAATTGGAAGACAGCGTGTTTACCGTCGGAGAAATGAACGTTTTGCCCCTGATTGCATTCGACAGGTCGGCAGATTCGGTGGAGCCAGTGTTGTGGTGTGGGTTGCAATATCCAGCAAACAATGATCTGATTTAGTGGGAATTTGACAGCAAATCGGTACGTCAACGAAGTCCTTGCACGTCACATGCTTCCGATAATGGACCGACAGAGGGAGTCGTTCCAGCATGACAACGCTACTTCACATACAGCACGCATCACGGTCCGCTACCTTGCCAGTTCTAACGTCAGTGTCTTGCCATGGCCTTCCCGATCCTCAGATCTAAACATGATAGAACACCTATGGAATGAACTCGAGCGACGTGTACGTCAACGGCAAAACACGCCCAAGTCACCTCCTGGCCGTCGCATTGCAGGAAGAGTCTGAAGAATTCCGCAAGAGGGACTTGGTCGACTTATCCAGTCTGTGCCGGGACGGTGCCGAGCAGTGGTGGTGGCCACAGAAAGTACTGACTTTGACGCCATTTTGTGGACACAAGCAAACAGAAACACAACAAGTGTTTGCCACTGACATGGCAATGTTCCCCGCCGCTAAATAAGAATGAAATATGACATATTTACTAGTTTGTATCTGTTGGTTACATAGAAGATTGCCTTTTGTGTGATGTTGAAGTCATGGTCACTTCTCAGAATCTTCTCCTAACTCTGAAGATATTTCAGGAATATTATAGATTTGAAGGCATAGATGCAGATCCACTGTCAGTATCAGCTTGTAGTAGTTCAATTCAGAATGACATGAAGGCTTCACACTTCCCAAAGCAACATTGATGCCAAGCATCAAAGAACATGCTTGACATCGGGTGTAACGGTTCATGGGATTATCGCGTTAACAAGACTTTGAAAAGTGTCATGTGACCTTGAAAATAAGGTCAAGGCCACCCTGAAATGACTGGTGTCTGCGTAATCACCCAACGTAGCCTGTCGACATAATTGAAGACATTGGGTGCAACGTTTTATGAGTTATCGCGTTTACATAAGTTTCAAAAGTGGTCAAAGTGCCATGGTGACCTTGAAGATAAGGTCAAGGTCGCCCAAAACGACTGGTGTCTGCGTAATCCCCCAATGTAGACTCAAGGTCGCCCAAAACCAAGTTTGAAGACATTGGGTACAACAGTGCATGAGATATCGCGTTAACAAGATCGGGACGTACGTAGGGACGCTGCTGAATACATAGTCGACCCTTCTGAGTTGCGGCGGGGGACAACAATGAAGGCTACTGTTGTGTTGGCGAATTCTTTGTCTATAGAGGTGTGAATTTTTACCTTTGACTATTGAAATTACATAATTGCTCTAAACTAACGCAATAAATTCTTCTAAAACCGGCCTAAGCGTCTCTTTTTTTTTTCGGGGGCCGAAGGAGTGTATATCTAAGGTTACATTTTGAATTAAAGGAGGATCCGGTTTTGCCCCTGTTGCTTAAAACTGGTCGGTCACTGTTACTGCTGTTCGACATGTCACGGCGGTTGTGTTTATGTTTTGCAGAGACGGCTTGCCACCGTTATGTAAAGTGCTGCCGTTTGCTGTGCAGAACCACAGAACCCAACAATCTTTGGTTCGAATCCAAGATTGCCCCCAAGCCAATAGTCCTTACTCATCCAACCGCAAGGTATTATCAATTCAAAATTCATCAGATCACATGTAATTCATAGTTTTCAAAATGCAAGATGAAACAAAAGCTCTTACCTGTCAATAACATGCATACGTGTCTTCTCAATCACTTCTTCCTCAGCCAAACAAACATCTGCAAGTGGATCGGTTCCAGCCAGTGAATTGGTCTCTGTGAGTTGCCAACAGATATAAGCTCAACGATTATTTCCATGAAGCGTTACTGTTGTTTTTGCCTTTAAGTAAATGAAGTGTATCGCAGCCAATGTAATCAGCCAACGTGTTTTACATTCAAGGTTATACGTATTCCGTTAAATATCTGCAGGTGATGGGAAACCATGTTATAATGCTGACGGAATAATTGACGTTTAAAATATAAATGAGAAGTGTTGACAACCATTAACTGTTTGAAAACATTTGACATAAGGACGTTCTGTTTGGGTGAATACAGATCAGAATCAATTCTTCAAGCAGAAAACCAGGGGTGGGGTAGGGGCTGGTATGGTAGGGGTGGTGTGGGAAGGGGTGTTGGGGTAGGGTGTCTCGGGGTAGGGGCTTGTAGGTAGGGGTGGTGGGGGGAAGGGGTGGTGGGTTAGGGGCTGGTGGGGTAGGGCTGGTGGGGTAGGGGCTGGTGGGGTAGGGGTGGTGGGGAGGGGGTGGCTGGGCATGGGGTGGTGGGGCAGGGCCTGGTGGGGCAGAGGCTGGTGGGCAGGGGTGGTGGGGTAGGGGTGGTGGGCAGGCTGGCAGGGTAGGGGCTGGTGGGGCAGGGCTTGGTGCAGGGCAGGGGTGGTGGGGGGGAGTGCAGGGGGTAGGGGGCAGGGAAGGGGTGGTGGGGTAGGGGCTGGTGGGGCAGGGTTTGGTAGGGCAGGGGTGGTGGGGTAGGGCGGTGTTGGGGCAGGGCTGGTAGGGCAGGGGCTGGTGGGGTTTGGTGGGTGGGGGCAGGGTGGTGGGGTAGGGTGGTAGGGTAGGGGGTGGTGGTGATTGGAGTGAGGGGATACTATGGTAACAATGCTTGTACCTGATGACGAAAGTGATACTACACTTTTAGTCAATCATGATAATTATCCTTTTCTCGTTCACTGTTGACGTGACATAAAGTTGTTTAGCTTTAGTGGCGAATCCACCTGCAGCAGGTGTTGTAGCTTTGTTTCACTGTACACCTGGAAGGTGGTAATGAGCATCATAGGTCCCGGACACGAATAAAACAACTGGACCTTGTATCAAACCTTGGACCCGGTGGTATCAACCTTGGACCTGGTTGTATCAAACTTTGGACCATGTTGTATCAAACCTTGGACCCGGTAGCACCAAACCTTGGACCCGGTAGTATCAGCCTTGGACCTGGTTGTATCAAACTTTGGCCCCCGTTGTATCAAACCTTGGACCCGGTAGCACCAAACCTTGGACCCGGTAGTATCAACCTTGGACCTGGTTGTATCAAACTTTGGACCCAGTTGTATCAAACCTTGGACCCGGTAGCACCAAACCTTGGACCCGGTAGTATCAACCTTGGACCTGGTTGTATCAAACTTTGGACCCAGTTGTATCAAACCTTGGACCCGGGTGTTTATAACATTGGACCCGGTAGCATCAAACCTTGGACCTGGTTGTATCAGACCTTGGACTCAGTTGTATCAAACCTTGGACCCGGTTGTTTCAAACCTACTGAAGCTAGTTGCTACTGTTTTGTTGTTGGTGGTGGGTTTTTGGGTTGTTTTTTTCTCATTTTAAACAGGGTCTAACATGATTACATATTAGATAATAACACGTCTTAAGCGGACATTGGATAGTAAATATATTATGAAACAAGGGCCAATAGTTAACGATGGTAAACTAGTAGAACTGAAAATATCTGAACATTTTGTAAGGGCATCGTATTTGTAGAGCAGATTGATCGTGTCATTGGTTCCCAATCAGGTGGATCGATGTTCACGCTAATCGTTGGATTGTCTAGCAGAGAATCGATTATCTGCTGACTGACGACACATAACTGGAGTATAGCGAATCCGGTTTTAAGTAACAAACTTCCTATAGTGTTATTCTTCCTCCCTAAAAGTTCGAACAGTTACACTTCTACCTCCAGACTGACGGCTTTGAGTGTCATGAGCGTCGCCTGGACGTTCGCCTGGACGACCGTAGAGCCTAACACGGCCACCAGATATTTGCTTGCTGTTTGACGCTGCAATATTCCAGCTATATGGCGGCGGTCTGTAAATAATCAAGTCTAGACCAGACAATTCAGTGATAAACATCATCATCATCGATCTACGTAATTGGGATACGATGACATATGTGAACCATTTCAGCGAGCCTGGCCACCTGATCTCATTAGTCGCCTCTTTCTACAAGCATGGGTGCTGAAGACCATTTCTAACCGGATCTTCACGGGTAACGGCCATCAGAGCTATCCAGTTGACACTTGCACAAATTTGTGAATAGTGTACCATGTAAAACCTCCCATGCTGGGTCTCAAACCAGGATTTGTCCGAGCTGTTAGTATGGTTGTCTTCTTGACGATCGGCCCATGGCATGTTATGAGAGTTGGCTTGCTGTAGATAAAGATAGTATGTTGTTGGGATGATGATTAAAATGCTTGGCCAATTCCTCTTGCACAATTCCTGTTTGCTGTAGACCCACGGCGCATAGACGTTAATTTCCAGCCGTGGCATATCGTCAGTGCCGGGGCATTTACTGTCAAGCAAAAACGTTTTTCATGAGTACATTACAGATAAAGATCAATCATGTGCTGTTCACAATAAACAGAAAACACGTGTGTTGATACCATGTTCCAAGCACACATATAAACGTCCAAACACCTAACTGTTCGCCATGCTAAATGTTTAGATGTCTTCGTGAAATGAGTTTTGTGTGTTCGTTTTTCGTTTCGTTTTGCTTGGGTTTGGGAAAGATATCCTTAAACTTGGCATTTTAATCTTCTCAACTTTTATCAAAATCAGTAGGAGCGCTATCGTGTGGCTGGTCTGTCTATTCAAGACTGGATTGGATGGCAGAGTGAGTGAGTGAGTATGGTTTTACGCCTTTTAGCAATATTCCAGCAATATCGCGGCGGGGGACATCAGAAATGAGCTCCACACATTGTACACATGTGGGAAATCACACCCGGGTCTTCGGCGTGACGAGCGAACGCTTTAACCACTGTGCTACCCCACAGCCCCTGGATGGCAGAAGTATTGGCAGCAGTTCTTTGTGCAGATCGTGTGACGGGTGAGTGGAGCAGGTTACAGATAGAGATGTCTCTTTTCCAGAACACCTGAAGTCATCAGTCTTATTCGGTGATCTGTTCCAACACGTCAAGATATTGGAACATGTCGATGGAACCAAATTTGGTGATTTTAGTATCCCGACGGGAGCAATACATAACAGGCACATTGATAAAACATGATGTACTCAGAAACTTCAACCTCCTGTGTAACAAATGAGAGTGCACATGTGATCATGCTTCAACTGTCCCATTGTGTATCTGACCTGAACAACCTCGGACAAAACAGTAGCTGGGTCGGTTAATGTCTGCAGAGGGATCGGGTATTGAGCCTTTCCATGATCCGCATGGTAAGGTGGGATTACAGTGTTTCTCCCGTGGCCTGAGGCACCACACTACCATGATACCTCTGTGGATGATACAGTGAGTGTGTGAGTTAATGAGTACTGGAATGATGTGTGAGTGGGTTGGTGGGTGAGTTAGTGAGTGCTAGTGTCTTGTGTGAGTGGGTTGGGGAGTGAGTGCTAGTGTGATGTGTGACTGAGTTGGGGAGTGAGTGCTAGTGAGTGAAAGTGTGATGTGTGAGTGGGTTGGGGAGTGAGTGCTAGTGTGATGTGTGACAGGGTTGGGGAGTGAGTGCTAGTGTGATGTGTGAGTGGGTTGGGGAGTGAGTGCTAGTGTGGTGTGTGACAGGGTTGGGGAGTGAGTGCTAGTGTGATGTGTGATTTACTGTAAGTGTGATGTGTGAGTGGGTTGGGGCGTGAGTGCTAGTGTGATGTGTGAGTGGGTTGGGGAGTGAGTGCTAGTGTGATGTGTGAGTGGGTTGGGGAGTGAGTGCTAGTGTGATGTGTGAGTGGGTTGGGGAGTGAGTGCTAGTGTGATGTGTGAGTGGGTTGGGGAGTGAGTGCTAGTGTGATGTGTGACAGGGTTGGGGAGTGAGTGCTAGTGTGATGTGTGAATGGGTTGGGGAGTGAGTGCTAGTGTGATGTGTGAGTGGGTTGGAGAGTGAGTGCTAGTGTGATGTGTGAGTGGGTTGGGAGTGAGTGCTAGTGTGATGTGTGAGTTAGTGTAAATGTGATGTGTGAGTGTGTCGGGTTGGAGAGTGAGTGCTAGTGTGATGTGTGATTGGGTTGGGGAGTGAGTGCTAGTGTGATGTGTGAGTGGGTTGGGGAGTGAGTGCTAGTCTGATGCGTGAGTGGGTTGGGGAGTGAGTGCTAGTGTGATGTGTGAGTTCCTGTAAGTGTGATGTGTGAGTGGGTTGGGGAGTGAGTGCTAGTCTGATGCGTGAGTGGGTTGGGGAGTGAGTGCTAGTGTGATGTGTGAGTGGGTTGGGGAGTGAGTGCTAGTGTGATGTGTGAGTTAGTGTAAATGTGATGTGTGAGCATTTTAGCGGGTGAGTTTGTGAGTGCTAGTGTGATGCACGTGTTGGTGCGTTCTACGACTAAACCCTGGCAATAATAAACATACCTTCAAGGATGTGGTCTTCGGGGGATAGACGCCAACTCCGTTTGAGGTTACAGCCACTAACAACCATAGTTATTTACTCATTCTACCAAATTTATATTTAACTTTACATTAATTACAACACATCAACGTTTAACAGTTAAATCAATTTCTTTTAAAACACCAAGAATTATACGAGAACTTACCATATAAAGATCCTTTTTAAAGATGAGACTGTGAAAAAGTTATCCCTTGTAATGGTGAGGTGAAATGGTGAGTGAGTGAGTTTAGTTTTTGGCCGCTCTCAGCCATATTCCAGCTATATGGCGGCGGTGAGGTGAAATGGGGTTTTAACGTTGCGCTCAAGATGCGTGTGTATGTGTCGCTGCTTGTACTAGCCCAGACTGAAGCTGGCTTTATAGTGCTAGCTGACAGTTAAGCATGAATATCCCACTCAGACACATTATACTTACTCCGAGTCGACCAGTCCTTATTGTACCCATTAATGTCGAGCGCCAGGCAGGGACCAACAAGTGCCATATTTTAACATTTTTTGGGTATGACGGGGCCGGGGATCGGACCCGCGACCTTCCGCTCTCCTGGCGGACGCTCTAACCCTTGTAATGGAAAAAACCCCAATAAAGTTAAACAAGACAGTCTTCACCTTGATTCTGTCCTCACTTGGATCCTCACCTTTCTGTAAATATCCGTGTGTATATCTGCATTATCTGTGTATATTTGACAAGAACCTTCAACTGCAGGCAAATTGATATACCGCTACCAGCAAACAGGCGGAACCCAAGACCGTCCAAGATCGGAAAGACGACACCAGCCGAAGACCGCTGCATCCGGCAGATGAACCGTCCTTCGACGACTTGGTATGTCTGGTGAACGAGCCTACCGCCCCCTCAATGGAATGACCTTGCGCTGTCTACACCGTCAACGCAGACTGCAGTGGGCACGACCTGTATGTCGATGGCAGCGACGTGAGAGCGTGCTCTTTACAGAGGAAAGTCGGTTCTGAAACGATGGCAGAATTCGAGTTTTTCGAAGCAGAAGAGCGACTGACGCCATTAAACATCACTGGGATCATCTTGGTCGTCAGCTGAGACAGCGTGTACCACCTCCAGCGAACCGACAGGAACTTGAACAGACTCCCTTGGACTTATGGAACAGGATTTCTGCTGACGTCATGAGACTAATGTTGGCATGTATGGATTACCAGGGTGTTCATACTCGCTATTGATGACGTGTTCCCTGATTCCTGCCTCATTATGTGACTCTTTATACACTATTTGAATGACCTCTGATCGTGTAATTTGTAATTTTGATCCCTTGAGTTTTTCTTAATGAATTGCGACAATTGCAAGATCAGCATTACAAATATTTGGGAAATGATTTCTGTTTGTAAAACAGTTATTATAATCTCATATACTTCTTTGTTTCTATATTTTGGTCAAGTGAAGTCGGCGATAACTTTCTTTTGCCCGGTAGTTTGTACCTCGGGTAGTAAAGATTATATTTCTACGTGTTTGGGGAACATACACTACAGTGGACATACAACAGAAACAACCAAACAAAACCAATCCTCATGTGGAATCTCTTCTACATTCTCTTCTTTCTAGAGTTCAAGTTCCAGGTGTTCACAAACTGGTGAACGGTGGCACTCGTCATGGCATGTATGGATGTCCAGGGTGAGCAGACTCACTATTGATGACGTAGCCCCTGACTCCTAAATTTTCAACTGTAGGAAATATTTTCCCGTTTTCTCCCTACGCTCTCGTGTCTGTTTGGATTCTTATGCTCAAATGTGAGGTTTTGCAGAATACCTACGTATTGTTTGATAAACTATGTGATTGAGCTGATCTGATATTAACTTGATTGGATCTTCAATATCATTAAAGATGTTCACGAGTTAATTTGGCAGGACGTAGTATTTCATACAAGTGACCTTTTCAAAAATCCATCCAGATTAAGATGAATCTGCAGTTGTTATTTTAATTTTTTTAAGAATTGTGGAGAAGTAATCGTTGACAGGTCATCTTAGGCCGACCATTCAAACTTGTTTTATCATTTTGCATCTGTAAGACACAGGTCAAGAACTGAGTATGTACCAGCTGCAGATGTAGAAATGTGTTTGGATCATCATAATGTATATTTTGTTTGTTGTTTAACGCTGCACTCAGCGATATTCCAGCTATATGATCACGGCCTGTAAATAATCCATAGTCCAGACCAGAAAATCCAGTGATTGACATCATGAGCATCGATCTACGTAATTGGGATACGAAGAAATGTGTCAACCAAGTCAGCAAGCCTGACCACCCAATCCCGTTTAGTCGCCTCTTACGACAAGCATTATACATGTATATACACATATTATTGACAATAAATAATTATCTAAACACCTTCCCTTTATCGTTTGTGTTCACACTTTCCCCAAGAGGAGTTGGTCCATTGAGATCAACCATGATGATGTAGGGCTTCTGGAACTGATCATATATATCTTCCCAATCAGATAGTCGAAGATCAGAAGGAGGAGGAATATGTAAGAAGTACAGCGTAAAAAAGATGTGCAAGCTTAGACAAAATACAAAGATTTGTAGATAGTGCGATAGGGCTATGTAAGATTCCCTCCCGATTCAAGTCAAGATAGGAGAGCCTCCTGCTGCCGAACATGAGTCAATTCCAGGAATCAACATTTGAAGAAATATACAGATGTACAAAAGAAAGTACACATCTGGTGTTTTGAGACAATTAAAAAACGTAAATATTTTGCTAGCAATGTTCTAATTTGGTATGATATCTATGGTGTTATTGCAACACGTACACAATGTTTGTGAAATGAGAGTCACAATCAAAACACTTTTCTAAATATTACGCTGTTTTTAGGAAAACATTTTACCAAAGCATCAGGTGAGTACTTTCTTTTGTACGTCAGTATATTTCCCGTTGAGAGATCTGAAGCCGCTATACTTCTCTTATGAAACAGATAGTTGCAGTGACAGGGTAACACTAAATTATTCAGCATCCCTGCTCCCCTCCCGCCACCGGGAGTCAGCAAGGACAGTGTTATAGGGCACCGGATTTCTTTGACGCTAATACCAGGTCTACAGGGATGTTATGCTCCATCAAATAGCTACAGTTAACTACCACACTGAGTATGAGACTGGTTCCTTTAAACATCAGTGGTCTTACTATTGATGTCAGAGTAATAGAGATTTGCTTTCTGACAAAGAAATCGAAAAGGTCATGAAACGTTTATGTGTTAGCATTGTCGCATGAAAAAGAACTCCTACAGCAACGATTTCTAACCTAGCACACCTCATCAACTATTTATTGTTTCCCTTGAAACTCAAATAAACAAAACAAAGCACACACCTGGTGTTTTCGGATTATGTCTTGAATATGTATCTTGATTGGGACATTCTTTTGAACGTCAGTTTAGGTAAAGGTTCTTCATGCCGCTTTCAGTAATATTTGATGTTATACCCGTAAGTGAGCGAGTGAGATCAGATTTACGCCGTTTTTATAAATATTCCAGCAATATCACGGCGGGGGAGACCAGAAATGTGATTCACACATCGTATCCTTGTGGAATTGAGATAATATTATTTGGGACCGTTCATAATTTATGGCTAGGGGGTGGTGGTGGTGATTGTTATGAAGAAGCATGTACAATGTGAATGACCCCCCACCCCAAAAATAAAATAAATGTATGTACAAAATAAGTGACCCCAGCTTGCATGTCATGTACAAAATCAATTACCCCCCCCTTCCATAATTTCTAAGCTTAATTTTAAACATAATTCTATGTAAATAATTGCTGAACACCCCATCCCCCAATACGCGTGTACAAAATAGCTTAACCCCCAGCTCCAGAACAAACTGGGTGACCCCCCTTAAAATCGTCATTAATCAGAACAAAATATAAAGATGTATTATGATAGCAGAAAGAAATTTCGAAATGTTTGTAGAGCGTGTTGTTGAGGAGATAAGATCAGATGTTTTAGAAAAGGTTTGTAAAATGTTTTGGCGTAAATTTAAATCTTTGTTATGTGTGAGAGAAAATGATTCACCCATTACAGTTGATAGTTGGTATGAATATTTTAAAACTTTGTTGAATCCAGTAAATGTAAGCCATGTTTGATGATATTGTTATCCCCCCTCAACGCGTTTTACGGGGGGGGGGGATTAAAATGCACTCCGTCCGTCCGTCCGTCCGTGCGTCCGTGCACATTTGTCTTTTCCGGAGCAGAACTTTTATACCGTTCAGTATTTCTTCACCAAACTTGGCACATAGATAGGTCTGGTAGTGTACTGGTGCCTTTTGGTACTTTTGGATTTCTGATTATTATATTTTTGGCGTTTCCATGGTAACAAGTTTGACTTTGACTGAAATTGGGGTTGGTGCTCTTTTTCGGAACAACCGCCTCCGTGGTGTAGTGGTTAGAGCGTCCGACCGGAGAGCGGAAGGTCGCGGGTTCGATCCCCGACCGCGTCATACCAAAAGACGTTAAAATATGGTACTTGTTGGTCCCTGCCTGGCGCTCGGCATTAATGGGTACAACAAGGACTGGTCGGCTCGGAGTCAGTATACTGTGTCTGAGTGGGGTATTCATGCTTCACTGCGGCATGGTGAGTGAGTGAGTTAAAATTTAACGTCACATCGGCAATATTTCAGCCATATCGTGACGAGAACAGTTAATTTTATACATAGTAAGTAATGGTAAACTGTAAAAACCTGTCAACGAAGGACAGTAAAATAACTAGATTATCACAGATTCGAATTTAAAACTAGTAATTAAATCTAAAAAAATAGGGGACACTATAGGGGACAACAAAACATAAAAATAGGCTACAGATCGCCAACAACTGAAGGTAGAGCACCATACTAGGGACCATGGGGACTTACAGTACCTTTGCTACCTGCATGGACCCTAGTTGGATTTACACCCTCCCTTCAGCCATTGGTGATGGAAGAGAAATCTAGCAATAATTAAAAGCACACATATTCTACGATTAAAAAGGTGGCAAGTTTAAATGTACTTTAAATGTGTTTGGACTTACGTACCCTCTCAGGAGGACAAT